AAACTCCCATCCTATTTGTGAGACTACCAGAGCAGGTGGTTGCTCAGAGTGGGAGGACATAATTTCAATGTGTGATGCTATCCTGTCCCACTGGTTGTATTTATTCAAGTTCATTTTCATAGTGGAATATTTCTAGAGCATATAACACAATAAGGATTTAAATGTCCCAGGGTGTTGTTCCTCCTTTCTGAGCTGCTGTGACTCTGCTGATGTGCGGTTGCCGTGGTGTTTAAGACATGGCATGAAATGTTTGGCACTTTGGATTTAAGCTAATACATACGTGTGACAAGCATGTACACGACTGCTCAGCATTGTATAGATGAAACATGGTTATTTAATAAGTGGTGATGTCGTGTGCGTTGTAGGAGAGGCTCACGTCTCTGTAGGATGGAGGCAGATGGGCTCTGAACTGTGTGACTGCCTCAAAGAGAGAAGAGGAGCTACCTTGTTTCATAGAATCATTACGGTTGGAAAAGACAAGTATAATCGTCTCATCATCTTCAGCATCCTAGACTGTTTGGTCGCAAGGATGAATTAACTGAGACAGGGGAGGTTTAGGTTAGATATTAGGAGGAAGTTTTTCACTCAGTGGTGATGCACTGGAACAGGTTGCCCAAGGAGGCTGTGGATGCCCCATCCCTGCAGGCATTCAAGGCCAGGCTGGATGTGGCTCTGGGCAGCCTGGTCTGCTGGTTGGTGACCCTGCACATAGCAGGGCATTGGAACTGGATGAGCATTGTGGTCCTTTTCAACCCAGGCCATTCTATGATTCTATGAAGTTATTCTAGCCTGGAAATCTCTCCAGGTCTGAAAGCATGCTGTAGACATTTACCCACCTGTCCCAATGCTCAGATGGGAACAGTTTCTCCAATGTTGCTGTGAGCAAAGTGATGGCATTTCGCAAGGTCGAAGTGTCCTATAAGTAGGAGCTGGATACAAGTGTTTCTGATAGGACCATTCAACAAGAGGTGGAGAGTCTTTGGAAGCTGGGGAATGAGATAGGAAATAGAAAGGCTTTGCCAAGATTCATTTTGGCTGGTGGGTGGCAAGGGGCCTGTAGGCAGCAGTTCTCCATCACACGTCGCCTTGAGGAGCTGGATTGTGACTGACAGCAGCAGAGGAGGCAGTCTGGGGAAGATATTTTTCTAGGATTTTCACTATAACTGCCTCGTAACATTCTTGAGCCCTTCCCTGCCCTTCATGGAGAAGCTTTATGGGATGGTTGGGATGCACCACGCTTGCACAGTGGCCATATGAAAATCCACATGCTGGATTTTGTGTGCTGGTGCATTCATGGGAATAGAGACAATGAAAACTTTTTATACTTGGGTCCATCAGTGCATGACACCCAAGTTCTTTCAGCCACTAGTCAATGAAGAGCTAGGAGTGGGCCAGGAAAAACAAAACAATGGACTGATTCATTAGGGGATTTGTTCATTGCTATTTAAGTCCAAAGACTTTCCTAAATATATGCACCTAGTAAAATTTGAGATGCCCTGGCAGATATGTCTGGAGAGGCAGCTGGTGGCAAAGTACAATCTTTTACAGTGCCTAAAGTAACATTAGATGCAAATTTTTAGACACCTGAATTGTACTCTGAGGATGAGATTCTGCTCACACGTTCTCATATCTAAGTTTATGTGCTTCCCTGAGAGCAGAGTTCCAAAGCTCCTGTTAGTGAGCAGAAATGTGGTCAGCACAGCCATGGGAACACGGAGGGATGTTCAGCTGAGCCCGTGAAGGTGTCTGCTGCCTTTTAGGCTGCCCTGCCTGCCTTGGCTCCAGTGGATCAGCTGGGAGTTGAGAGATGTTTCTCAAATGTAGGCTGGATATCTGCCTTGGTGAGGTCAACCCTGGCTGGATGTTGTGATTTGGATGTCTAAGCCAACGTGCCTAAACCTACATGCCTATTCCTACTTGAAGGTCTCAGGCCACCTGCTAGCTGCTGATCCATTGGAATGTGGATTTCCAGCACGTATCGTGCCACATTTGCCAGCCCTATGTGCTGCCTTGGGTACCTGCTGGTATTCCTGCCTTGAGTGCCAGCTCTCCCACTAAGCTTTGGAGAGGTGTCTCTTGACAAGAATAACCCCGTGTTTGAGTTCCCACCCTTCATTTCATGTCTGCGCCTCGTTCACCCAGCTCTAAATCCAGCCAAGGGCTGCGGGTACCAGCTGAGCCAAGTCTTCTTGGTTGCTTACTTTCCCATCTCTACACAATGGCATTCGTCTCTTTTTCCAGGTGGAGCAGATGCACATGGGTGCTGGGGGTGGCGAGAGGGTTGAGAAAAGCCTGAACAGAAGAATGAGTGCAGTGTGTAGCCCTTCTGCAAGTATCTCAGCAATGTTGCCCATTTTGCTGATGGCTTGGGCGTGAAATCAGGTATAGGAGCTTTGTTTCACATGAGCTCAGCTCTCACTTCTGGACAACCAGTGCAATGTGACTTTATATGAGGGAAAACATGGTTGAGGATTGCTGTTTTGTTGTGGGTTTTTTTTGTTTTTTTTTTTCTTTTTTCTTCTCTTGGTGTTGAAATGTGTTCTGTACGCTCTTGTCTAACATTGTGGGATTTCTTGCAGAGTTGGCTAGACTCTTTGGCACGCAAAGCGTGACAAGCCCCTAACCAAGCTGGCCCAGCTGAGTACTATAAGCAGTAACACATCTCTCTCTGTAACCCATCACTTGTTTGAATGCTACTGTGTATTATTGGATTGCATCTGAAAAGGTCTTGGCTGTCACAGGAATGAAGTGTGACCATTGGCTGGGCTTTGCTGAAGGACGTATTATGCATAGTGTCTTTCTAAAAATGTCTCTGTAATATCAGGATTGGGCCAGACCCCAGCTCTGAGTCCATGACCTATTGCACATTTGTACATGGTGCTCAGCAGGACTCGTGTAGCCAAATAATTAAGAACCGCATGGTCAGGAAATGGATTGGAGCCAATCCTCTGCTGTCGTGAGGCCTTAATGTAGGCAGATGCCATAATGGGCTGAGGGGGAGATTTTTTTTCTTTTTTAGAAACCATAGATGCCCCAGTGTAGGGCATTTCTCAGCAGTACCTCGACAGGAGGCAGCTCTATAAAACAGGCTCTGTTCTAGATGGCTATTTTAAGGGGTGGTTATACTTCAGCCATTTAAAGTCAAAATGTAAACGATTTTGGTGGGAGGGAGAGCTATAAATACCTGTTTATAATCTGTGGGCAAAATACAGGTTATCTGTGACAGTCCAAACGTGCCTGCTCTCATGTTGCCCATGGGCTAGTCCTAGGAATAAGCCCTTCTCTGGGGAAGGTCAGGGAAAGCATTCATGGAATAACCCAAGTTGGAAGGGACACAGAAGAATTGTTGAGTCCAACACCATCCAGATGCCATTTAGAAGAAGATGGATATGCTCTTTATTGCCAAGAAGTATCTTTATTGCAGCCTAATTAGAAAAGGGTACTTCTTTAGCATCATTTGGCTTATAGACATATGGTCTTCTGTGGCATCTAGGAAGCTGGTGCCATCTCTTTCTGAGCTGAGTAACAAATGAAAAACTGTCTGCATGCATCTCTTCCCTTCCTGATACTGTGCTTACTTCCCATGCTGCTGCTTCTGTTGAAAATAACCTATTTCCCTCCTCTCCCCTCCACATACCAGGGTTCCACAGGTTCTTCCTTTTGTATTTATGCTTTGTGCTAGCTCTGTGCAAGATGTCCCCATGCAAGATCTGAGCATCTTCCTATATGTAGAATGACTTATGTTTTGGAAGCAAGTCACACATGCTTAGTTCCTGATATCTTGAACAAATTATTTCCCTCCTACAGAGATCTGTGAGATAATTCTTATTTGGACATCTATATATATATAAGGATTTTTGTTTTTTTTTTTAATATACAAATATATTAAGAAAGAATTTGAAACTAAGCCTTGCCCTTAATAGTTGCAGACGAGGTATGAGCAGACAGAGTTCAATGTAGCAGTACTAATGTGGAGGGTTTACTTCATTTTCCAGAGATTTAATGCTTTCCTTTTCTTTTCTCCACTGTGAGTTTGAAGACCTCAGTACTAAGTGCTTTAATTCTTTTATTTTATTTTATTATTACTTTTTTTTTTTTTATTTAAATGCTTGATGTGGGGCAGCTTCTGTGTATACAGGATCAGGTAGATAGTACAACCTTTAGTGCATGAGGTCTGTTCTCATAGCCAGGACTGAAAGTTTAACACCCCCTCACCTCTCTGCAGGGTGTCTGCCCCATATTCTTTGCAGAAATTGTGCAGAATTGAAGACTCTGCTCCCTTAGCCCTCCCTGAGGCCACCAGCCCTGTCATAGTCCTTGCAGGGATTATGTGATGGGGGCTCCTCACTGCAACATAGATCTTATGTGTTGCCCTTGAAACTGGCTTTGTGAGAAGCCAAATTCCTCATCCTGGCAGCTAGATGAAGATTTTCCTTGGTGATGAAGTGAACTGGGTGTGATGCTATGCGTGGCTTAAGTGCATTTCCACTGAGCCTGCGATGCTAATTCAGAGCTACATGGGTTTAAGGTGGTGATGTTGTGTGTTGTGCACATAACGCACACACATTCTGGAGTGCCCTTGCCTCTCTGTGCGGATTCCAGCAGCACTCTCATCCTTTTCTTCATGAAAGCAACTCACCTTTGCTACAGCCTAACTCCTTGTTCTTATTAATGTATAAATAGGTATTACAATGTGTATTAATCCCTGACTGTGTAAGGTAAATGTTTCAGAGAACGTCTTTGAATGCTTTAGTAGTGTCATTAACCATCCATGTAAAGCAGTATTCTGGCAGGTGTCATTTCTGGAAACTGAAACCCTTCTCAAGAGTGTTGAGTGTTTTCTGTCTTCTTCCAGCAGATGGTTTTTGTGTTGTCATCCTTCCTGTGTTCCAGAAGTCTTCTTCTAATGAATTTCTTGTTTGGTTGGTTGTTTTTTTTGCTCTACGCTTTGATTTCTCTCCCCATAACTGATTTTCTTTTGGGGATGTGTGTGTCTGCAGGTCATCAAAGCTGGTGTGGAGACAACCTGTAAGTGCCACGGTGTGTCTGGGTCCTGCACCGTCCGAACGTGCTGGAGGCAGCTCTCTCCATTCCACGAAATAGGGAAGCAGCTGAAGCAGAAGTACGAGACGTCGCTCAAAGTGGGCAGCACTACCAACGAGGCCACGGGGGAAGGAGACATTTCCCCACCTAAGAAATCCATCCCCGGTCACAGTGATCAAATCCCAAGGACTACGGATCTTGTCTACATTGACGATTCCCCAAGCTTTTGTCTGATGAGCAGATACTCGCCTGGGACATCGGGAAGGAAATGTTACAAAGACAAGAACTGTGACAGCATCTGCTGTGGGCGAGGGCACAATACGCAGAGCAGGGTGGTCACCCGGCCGTGCCAGTGCCAGGTCCGTTGGTGCTGCTATGTGGAATGCAAGCAATGCACCCAGAGAGAGGAGGTTTACACCTGTAAAGACTGACACATCTTCTGCCTGATGGCAACCCTCGGCGGCGGGCGGTCACGATCTATGAGAACTACATATGGAGACAAACAGGGTTTGATTGACCTTCTGGGATCTGAAAGCTATGTTGAGACATAAGCACTTTGTAGGGTACAGGTGACCCAGCTGTGTTGCTGTTTTCTTTTTGTTTTGTTTTGTTTTTTTTTTTCCTGTAGACTGAATTCTAATGAGGTCCAACCATGTGGAAATAAGTGCCTGTCACACTGGGGCTAGACACCAGTTGACCTTTACCTTCATCGTCCATGCAATTGGATGGATCATTTCTCCTTGGAACATCATGATTGTTTCATCAGTCCTCCATGAACTTCTGAGCTGATAGATTTTTTTTCTGGAATAATTAACCTATATTGCTTTATTCCTGAAGCTTACCCAGCGGCTTAGAGAGCTGGACAGATTTAAAAAAAAAAAAAAAAAAAGGAAAAAAAAAAAAAAAAAAGATCTTTCTGCTTTGAGTGCAAAGATATGAGAAGTGGTCATTTTTTCCCTCTTCTAAAGCTAAGGAGAAGGAAGGGTGCGGTAAGCAAAAACAGCCCTTGTAGAGGTTGTTCCTTTAATGACACTTCTGCACATCCAGCAAACAAGGCTCTGACAGAGAGGCCCACTTGGATGGTAAGCTTTTTAATGACAGCTCCATATCCACGTGCTTTAATCACTAAATACAGTCGGGTCCACCATGTTGCAGATGGCAATATATCCAAGAAAGAGGTTGGGAAGACATTATGATACCAGATGTGCCTGTCCCCTTCCAGTCCTTCAGTCGTGTTATTTTTTTTTCATACAATTTCTTCTTCCTTCAGCACTATCACTGTCTTAATTTTTATTTAAAAAACAAGCAAACAAACCACTAGATAATTTTATTTTCCCTTTGTGCATGGCATTTTTCTCTCCTCTTCCCACCTCTTAATGATTGAATTCACCCTGTGGAAATTGCTTCAGAAATCTAAACTGGAACTTTTTTGTCTTATGTCAGCTGAATTTGGACATGTGTTTTTGAGGAGGACAAGAGAAATTCCAGTGCATCTTGGAACGCAGCAATGTCTTGCATTGTACAGCAGCTGTTTTGGACTGGATCGGACCTTTGGAGGATTTGACTTTTCTTTTACTAGGTCATCATTCCATTTACTCTTAACTACAGCAGTGGTACATGACACAAGCTGTATGTAGTAAACCCTATGACCTTAAGATTTGTTTTAACCACTAGATTGAGAACTGTATTTAAAAAATACAGTTGCTAAACGGTAACCAACTGTTGGATTTGGAACATCTTATCAACGCAAAGACAACCCAGCAAGTGGCCAGAGAAGCCAGAAGTCAACTGCAGAGGTAGATTGCTCTGACGCTGTGAAATAGATGACAATCTTCAGCAGTTCTTTTTCCCTTTGAAGAGGATATTTTCAATCCAGGACTTGATGCAATAATATCTATTAGTCATTATAAAAGTGCTTCTGGGATTGGAAGTGGCCGATGAATGCCTCAACAAAGCTTTCTGAGGAAACACTGGAGAGCGGAGGGCATTGTATTCTATTTTTATATCAGCTTTTGATTGTCCAGTAGTAGCAATTTCCACCCATTTTGTACTGACCATTGATCTGGTTCTCAGAAGAGGAAAGCTGGCTGGAGTTTTTCAAGTAGTAGTAGAGGTTGGCCAAGCAAAAAGAGAGCAGTTTTTCAAGATGGACCATTATTTTTCAAGGCATTGTGTTGTTTTCTTTTTTTTTTTTTTTTTTTAACTTTCTTTTTTTTTTCTTTCCCCAAACAATAGCCACTAATATTTAAGCTGTTTATGTGCATCTACTGGGAGGAAAAAAGATATTTTTTTTTCTTGGTAACGGATAACTGCAGCCCAACCTGACTTATTGGCATCAAATCTAGAGGTAGGGAACTCGGGAGGGACAAGAGGTTACTTTTAGTACTGCTGTGGTCCTGCAAAGTAAAGCAAACTGGCTCTTTTTTGATATTTGTTTATTTGCTGTACAAATCTGGAGATTGTGGTAGTGCTGCAGAAGGAGTAATCCACACAAGGAGTGGTGCACACACAGTTATTTGTCCCTTCCACCACGACAGATGCCTGGTGGAGCATCCGACACAGAGGTTTTGCAGGAAGGTCTCATGGCTTCTGGGAGATGCACCTCTTTGAAAGTCACTTGCAAGCAGTTTATCTAATGGTTTAAAAAACAAACTGACTAAAAAACCTATTATTCAGTGTCTGCATGCGAGTATGTATCTACACTCATGCAGACACATAAATATATATATAAAGATTGAACGATCGTTTATTTATTTTAAAGCCCTTCAGAAGGACCTTCTTACGGTTTCAATGTGGTATTATGTTAAATTCTTTCTCCCTCTCTCTCACACGCACACACACGCATGTGCATATGTGCAAACTCTTCGTTTCATTTGTGTGTGTGTGTGTATGTGTGTGTGCTAGAATAGCTCTTCCCCTCCAAAGTAAGGCTGGATCCAAACCTGCTCAAAACGTGAGGGTTTTTGGATCTGAATTACTATTTCTGGCCCAGTTCTTTTTTTTTTTTTTTAGATATTTGTTCTTTGTTAAATATTGGGCCACAACTTATGTGCATTATTATTATTATTATTATTAATTATTATTATTATTATTATTGTTATATTTAAACCGTGGGCCTCATTTTTCCTTCTTTTCACTGGTGTCTCTGTCTCCGTTGACCTCGCTGGAGTAACTCCACATTGCACTGGTGTGAGAGGAGAATGAGTCCCTAGATGCAGAAGAGAGGGCAGAGCTGGCATGGATATCAATTGTAGAGGAAATACCTGTGTCTGTGGGGTAGGGTAGCTTGGTGTGTTTGAGGGGGGAGAGAGATGGGTGGGCAATGAGCAGGCTGCCAAAGCTAGACTAGAAGAACGAGGCAAAGAGTGAATGAACTACTGAGTGAAAGAGCTCTTCTGTGTATTATAATTCACGCACTGAAGCCTGGATGCTTTCTGTAAGTATTTAAAACAAACAAAAAAAAAACCAAAAACCCTAAAAACAAAGCAAACAAACAAACAACCGGAAAAAAAAAAAAAAAGCATAAAAAAAAAAAACAAAACAAACACACAAAAACAAATTGTATTTATGTTAATGTGGATATATTACTTGCCTGTTCTATATTGTAAATAGCAAGGTTTATTCTCCTGTGGTTAAAAAGAAATAATTATAAATGACTAAATAGTAGCGAGGCACATGTGTTAAATGTATAGGCAGTGTATAAAATGTACTAACACTCTGAAATCAGGAGAACTTGTCTTCTTGGCCTTTTGACCTAGGGTGGTAAAGCATATGTGGGTTCTTCCTCTTCTCCCCTCACCTTGTTGTGTGTGTTTCTTGGGTGGCACGGGGGGATGTTTAACTCCAGCATTTTCTGACGTTTGCCTTATCTTTGAAGAGAGAATGTGGGGAAAAAAACCTTGTTTTGGAAGAATCCAATGGAGCTCGAGTGGCATTGAGGCATGTAGTAGGTAGAAGGAATATTGGTCAACCTGCTCAAAACTCTTTTGAGATCTGGGTTTTCTGCAGGAAACCTCTGTCAGACACTGTCTGCTGTCCTTTGGGTTACAGCTGTTTCAAATTGGATTTTTCCAGAGAGGCTGATTCTACCCCCACACCATTGGATCTCCAGTGCAATTCAATGAAATTGCTCATATTCGCAAAACTACTATAGGAGTTGATTTGGGCCCGGAATCTTTCATGATATCACTTCATTAAAAACAAAACAAAAAACCAAAAACGAGTGCAAAGCAACTTTTTCTCTTCTTCCCCCCCCCTCTCTGCCCCCGAGAAACAGATTTTTGCAGTAAATGTAACTGGAGAAGGATAGATGGGTGTAGGGGAGGTCTGTGGCTTCTGATCTCCTTTCACCTCCTATCCCCCAAAGTGTCAAAGCGTTGGTTCTCCTGAGCTGATCCAGCAAGACTTGCAAGATCAGTTTTGGGGTGGGGGTAGGGAAGGGGGGTGGGAGGGGGGTGCAACCATTATTTATATAACTTTTTTATTATTTTTTTTTTTTTAAAGAGAAGTTAGCTGATGGAAGAATATTTTTATTGAATAGTGCATTTAGTTATGTCAGAAATATAAATATATATATATATAATATTTTTGTAAACAAGGCAAACTGAAAATGTTTGCTGTTTTATATTAGAATTTTCTATTAAAAGAAATAAAAAAAAAAAAAAAACCCACACAAATAATTGTTGCACCCGTCATCTGTTTTTTTAACAAGCTTCTGTTCTGTGTGACTGACTCATATATATTGGATGTGGAGATGTGCAAAACGAATCCTCAACGTTACATTCTCATTGTCTTCCAGCTCCCAAAAGACTCCATTTGGTGAAATGAGACATGTTTAAAGGGGATTTTTCTTTATGGACACTGAAAATGAATTATGGAGATGAACAGAATCGATAGCTTGCAATTAAAATGCAAAAAAAAACCCAACAACCCTACCCTGAAACCTCAAGCTTTTGATTTTTAGTTGTGCTTATTGGTGTTGGCATAGCTTTGGAGGGAGGAAATCCTATTTGCAATAACTAAATATTTGCCATTGATATCAGTTGGGCTGGGGAGAATGCATTCTACAAAGGTAGCTGGAATGAAAGCACCTGAGTGAGTAGGAAGTTTAAAAGGAAAGGACCAAATTCAAGGCTTGATCTAACAGAAGTGATTTGCATCAATTTAAATGTAAAACTGGGGAGTTGGAGCAGTTCAGGAAGCCTGTTGTTCAACTTTAGAAGCAAGGGATGAGCTATGTAGCATCTGTTTTCCAAAGCTGGTTTGGAGATCTGGGCAGTGAAGAAACAATTTCTGAGGATTATTCATGGTTGGCCAGCTTGTCCACGTCTGCCTTCCTTCATCCCAGGTCTTGAATTTCTTTCTTAATCATTTTTCAGCTGCCCTACTTTAGCCAATGTATGAGAAGAAATTAGGTTGGTTTGGCCATAGTAGGGTTGGGTGAGAATCCAGATGAAGGGACAGATTTCTCAAGGGTACTTTCATGGTGTAGATGCTCCTTAAGGTAATTTTCTGGCAGATTATAGTGCCTGTGAAAAATTCCTCGGTTGCTGTTGCAGTAAAATTAGATCTATACTGTATTGCTAAAACAGGTGCAGCAAAGCTCTGCATTCCCAGTCTTTTTGCTTCTGCATGCACATCTGGTAGGCAGAGTCTGGCTTCCAGGGTCGGCTTGTCCCAGCCATTGTTTTTAAGGATGCTAACTAGGTGATGACTTTTGGAAAGCAGTATTTTCCTGCAAAATGAATGATGCATTTTATGACCATTGCTGTCTGTGTAACGCAGAGGAGGCTCAATATGGCACAGGATCAGGACTGTAAAAGTCAGGTCTAGCTTAGT